ATCTAATCTCCGAAATATTATCGCCGACCTCGCCGATCATCCGATTCCGAATGCGTACTAGCTCTAAATTTTGAAATTTTATTTTTTAAATAAATAATATTATTTAATTCAAATAAAGAATAATAAAAAGTTCTTTATTAGAAAACTAATAGTAATTACCTAATACTAGCTAGTATCCCGAATTTGTAGCAACTTAAAGTAAAGAGCATTTCCTAGCAAACCCTAACATTAATCTCATAGTGCTAGCATCCTGAATCATTATAATTAGTATCTCCGCAAAGTGCAAACTCAACTCTCCCCCTCCCCCTCTCAAAACCTGTCAATCCAGCTAATATCCATCCTTAACCTTCTCGAACTCAGCCATTTCCTGTCTAGTAGGTTTATCAGTTCGGATGGGAACCTGGTCCGGCAATCTCTCCAATTTAAAACGCCAGAATTTGCCTCCCTTTCCATTGGTCTGAACATTGTTTTCAATGACTGTATAAATTCCATCGTATCGGATACCCATGGCTGGTCTATCCTTCCAAGTGCAGCTAGCATTTCTGAAAACGCGAACTGGCTTTCCCGTTACAATTGATTGTCTCATGGATTGTATACGAGGATTTGAGGAGTCTGGTTCCTCGGTTGTGGAATCTTTAGCTCCAGGCGCAGAATAAAGAACTGTATCGCCCTGATCTGAGTCATATCCATCATAATCTTTTGAAATCAAGACGGAATAAGCTCCACGCTCCTTATCCCCAGAGATTCCACCTTGTGAGCAGCCTGTTGTACCAAAATTAGTATAATTTCGTGGTTTTATGGGAACACTACAACAAGAAACTTACCATGACCACCATCCCGAAGTGCTGCAAGTTGTAGAGGCCAGCAATCTCCAACCTTAAGATTATTGTGACCAAAATCGTGAAAATCCTTTTTGTGAATCTCTCGCGTCTCTGGGTTGAGCTTCGCATTAGTTCCATCCCATAATAAGCCACGCATGATACCGTTTTCTCCGTAAATAGGATGATTGGGAGGAGCTTGTGCTGGAGGATTTGAAGAACCAGAAATTGAATTTTCCCTGGAGTTTTTGGCCGAGATAAGTGTTTCATTGGTTATAGATTTTCTTTTTCCGCCATTCTTATCTGCAGACTCGGTGTTTGATGTTAATGTAGGTGATGGCGGTAGTATGTTGAAGCCATTTTCGGCATCAATTTTATTGATCAACGCTTGTGAGATATTGGAGTATTCTCGAGGAAACTTAAATTCTGGATTGGTGAAGAGTTCGAGAAGCGATTTGAGAGTTAAATCCTTGCTATACTCGTATTGGCAGTTAGTTGCCGTGTAGCTATAACAAATTATCAAGCAAATGCACTCGTACCTAAACTCGGGTGTGACCTTCGTGAGGAACGAAAGAGTATAGAGGAACAGCTTGACTTTCTCCCATTTTTCGGGATCAGTTTTTCGACCACCTTTAAGTTGTACAGCTGTTTCAGTAACAGCTCTTTTTAAACCCAAGAGTGTCTGGAGGGCAGATTTCAGATCTGTGTTAATATCTGAAGGTGTGTACTTTGAATCGATAAGCTTGGTGACGGCTTCTTGTAGATTGAACCCTCCACCTTCTTTACCAAGTGAATCCATGGTAAAGCAAGGAAAAGAGAAAGACTAATTGACCAAATAGAAAATATTAATGAAGTTGCAGTAACAGGAATGAAGGTCCGGGTCTTTATCGACGTTGCTGTCAAGTTGTGTTAGAAGAAGAGAATGGGGGGAATGATGAAAAGAGTGTCCAGGTCCTCAATTTATTATTGTCACGGAAACACTTACTCGATGGTAATGATTTATTAACGAATTCTCAAGAGTTTAGATGACAGATCATACAACAGCAAGTCTTCTTAAGCCAAAGACTTAATTAAAAACATCTTATACTTAAAGATGTATTATAATAAGTAAACAAAGCGCGTGGATTGCGACCTGTAATATAGAACTTGATTTCTTTATCTTGAAATTGTCAACGCCACCGCCACTACAATGAATAAACGGAGAAGAGACTTTATAAGTATCTAATCAATATATTCGAATTTAAAATAATATATTGATTTAAAATAATGTTGAAATATAATAAATCTCTTAGATTACTTTAAAAGTTTAAGCTAAAT